CATGTCAGCTCTCAGTTCATTTATCATTGTCTTTACCATGGTTCAATTGCATTGCACGATTTAAAGCACGTGAGTGCCTATATAGTATATATGTAGAAAATAATATCTACAGCAAAACATCCAAAATTACAAAGGCTACAATGCTTAAAAAGTAGGTTCATCAAGGAAGCCCATTTTTACTTGCGTTGTGTTCCCAACCATGCGATTCCAACGCGGGCTATTCGCAACGTCTGTTAAGGCACGTTAACAACTGACAAGCCGCCACCGCTGCCACTTATTCATAGATGGTTGATATCGCAGCTTGTGCGTCAGCAGCGCGGCCCACAACGCGTCGGCGCCAGCGCACGCAGCTGTTGGCACTGGGCAGCCGGTGTTGCGACTTAACGGCCGGCCGGCCCCATGAAGGAGAAGCTCTTGGTGAAGCTTTGTGATCGCCTCATAGCCGCCTTGGAAGTCATCTTTCTTGGCAGATCCATCCGTTCAGATGGTACGGTGCAGTCTGGATAAAGGACGAAGTCCAACGCCGCTAACCCCGCGACCGCCATCCCACAACGTGGCCGCAGACCGAACGGGCGTGAGGGCCGTAAGGGCCACCCCGCCATCCGGTAGGTGGCTGAGCAGCCGGGCGCAGCGGCGCCTGGGCGGCGGCCGCGCTGAGATGAAGTCCCAAACCGCCATGTCGCCATCACCGCCATCACCATTGCTGCAGCTGTTCCCAACCGCCTCAATCGCCGCCGTTTTGCCAGCAGTCGCGCCGCGGAATGGCAGAAGCTCCAGAGTAGCCTCCAGCGCCCCTCTCCGCACGTGTGCAGGTGCACTGCGGCCGCCGGGTCCGACGTCCAGGCAGAACATGATATTTCCATGCTGCTCCGACGGTGGGCTGGTCTTGTTTGGGCGTTCCTCCACTGTGACGTCGGTCACGCCTGCCCCGGCCAGGGCGCAGAGGCCGACGTGTCACCATCCGGTTGCAGTCCTCACTCCTCAGTCGGGTCGCAACGTGTACCTCTTCCGCAGCGTGGAGCGCGCTCCCGCTGGGCAGCGATACAGCCAAAAGTAGCATAGCATGCGGGCGGCCAGCGCTGCGCCGGACAGCGGACCCATGCCGGGGGTATGCCGGTCTCGGCCATTAGCGGGGTCGTCGGGGCCGAGGCTGTACATACAGCTGGTGACCGCGTGAGCCGCCAATCGAAGCTCACGGCTTATAAGCTCGACGCGGGCATCACACGCCGTCCCGATGGGAGCTCCACGACGCCGCCGCGAACTCCAGCGCGGCTCGCAGCGCGAAGACCAGTACGGACGGCCGGGGCAAACGGCGTGCGGGAGTCGCAGGCGACGTTCTGCGGACAGAAAGGGTTGGGCATAAGCTGGTCGGCAGGACACTCTTGAGCCGAGCCTTTGATGTAATTACAGATGATCCAGAAGCATGCACAAAAATTCATGACACACTATTCTCATTTATGTATTTGCTACATATGATATGATATACCAGCTCATGATCAGTGACGCATTCTGGGCAATATGTTCTAAAGTGAAGTAACTGAAGTTACAGCTTAAAAGCTTAGCCCCGATTTTAACAAATGTAGATAAAATTTAAACAATTTTAAAAAATGTATCGTGGAGAAAATGAAAAGTGTAGATTTGTAAAGCCGGGATATTTCAATTTCACGGATTAGGCACTTAAAGAAATATCTTCACCTTTCTTTGAGCCACCAGCCTTCACCCAAGTTTTACACGAATGTAGTGAAGCAGACAATGTGGCAACTCAAAATTGTGATGGTTTGAGATAATTATGACGGTAAAAGAAAAAGCAACACAAGGTTCCTTACCCTCGTTTTTTCACATGGGTTCAGATGAGGCTTCAACTGTTGCCGACCTGAGGAGCTATAGGGACTTGAGCTTTCCAAAACTCAATTTCTAAAGGCACTGAGCAGTGTTTGGCTTTCACACGAATGCGATAGTAAGTTATATGAAGTTGACAAAGCAAGCAAAGCAAAGCATGATGCCCCGCGCGCCCGCCCGCGACCACGCCCCGCGTCCGACTCCCGACCGCCGCGTGACCCGAGGCGCCCGGCGGTCACGTGACCTACCGGCCGGGACTGCAAACGGCCTTCACCACCATTCTTGTATGACGTCATATCCTACTGAGGTGCTGATTGGTCGGAATTAGATACCTGAAGGTAATTATCTGCCGTAGTTATTTTTTTTCATTGTTTTGCGTGTTTTCTTATATGAAATGTAATTAAAAAATTTGTCATATTTTAATCACCATTAAAACATAACTGAAGAGGTATAAAAGAGAACTCGATATATACTTTCCTTGTTTTTAAGAATTCCGGAATTAGATACCCGAGGGAGCAAAGAGGGAGCAAGTTGCCACGCTGATTTAATACCTCATAGTCGAAAGGTGGGCTACTAGAACAAAAAATTGCTGTGTTTGTAAATAAATAAGTGATTTGAGGGCAAAAAATGCCCGGATTTAAACTTCTAAAATTATTTTGAACATAAAATATTTCAGTTTGAGGGATGTTAAGGCCTCTAAGGGTAGGTACTTTTTAGGTATCAAATAAGTTCCTCTGCGAAAGTTCCGTCGTGAAAACGGCCATTGTCTATTTAAAACATCCCATTAATCATAAAACAAACTGTTTTAATAACCTCAGATGAGCAATGCAGTCAGATCAAATATCTTCCATCGAGCGCTGAGCATTACCGTGCCACGTGTTATCCCCTCTCCATCTCCCGACCTTCCAGGCATCGATCCCGGACCGTTCCGTGCGGCCCTTTGTTTCCGCCCGGGCGGTGTCGCCGCGTCGCGTCGCCGACGACTGCTGCAATGCTGCAGGGCGGCCGGTGCGCCCGTCGCCACCGTCGCGTCTCTCTGTCGCCGTCGTCGTCGTCGCCGGACATTAAACAGCGGCGCTCCGTGACCCGGTGGACATGGCTGGCGGGAGATGGCATGGTCGCCTTATGGATGCACTCAGACGAGCGCAGCGCTGCGCTAGAGACGGACGGCAGTCATGGTGATCTGTTTCGGCTCAACGCAGCGCCATGCGTGTAGACTTAGTTTATACGCAGATGTTTGTAAGTGGAATTTGACGTAAATGGCTCATGTGCGTCATCGCAGTTGCAATACAGAAAATGGTTGAGTGACTTCTTCTTCTTTGTGAGGGAGCTTGGCATCTTTGGATGCGATCATTCTACGAACAATTTAACTCGGGCATTTTAAAAGTGGACTAAACCGCCTGCGCTCGGCGGCCGTTTTGCGTCAGCCGTTTTGGTCGGACGGTGGTCGGCTGGCATACCTATATTCGGTCGTCGACCCTCCCGTTCTGTGGCGCACACGGCCTGCGCCATGGCCGGAGATTTATCGGCGCCGGGCATTGTGGCTGGCCGGCCGCGAATTTAGAGACGCCGCCCGCTCCGCGGCAGAGTAAATCTAAACACTACAGAGGACGGCACACAATGGCGCCGCCGAGGGCGCAGCTGGCCAAACGCGGGCGCCGCCGGGGCGTCCGGGGTGGGGGGGGGGCGCCCGGGGGACGGGAACTGTGTCAGAGCGCCACACGTGTTGCCCGCAGTCGGCCGAGCCACACGGTTTATTTGAGTTTAAAAAGTTCATAGAGTTGGCCGGTACGCGGCTGCGGTAATGCGCAGAAGACGGCGGAGGTGGTTGGAGATCGTTGAGAAGATGCTGTGATGGGTTCAGATAGTCCACGCTGTGTGATTTGGGCTGCGGCGCCGCTGGAACGCAGCCCGAGGGAATGGCCTTCAGCCACGCGTCCCGAGACGAGCGCGAGCTTCGTCTCTGTCCTAACGGTGCCGCCATCAAAAACAGATGCACGCCACTCATGTCTCTCGTTCTCTCTCTCTCTCTCTCTCCCCCCTCTCTCTCTCTCTCCCTCTCTCTCTCTCTCTCTCTCTCTCTCTCTCTCTCTCTCTCTCCCTCTCTCTCCTCTCTCTCTCTCTCTCTCCCGACGCCCACTGCGTGATCCGCCCCGCCCGGACAGCGCTGCGTCCTGCGACCTCCACGGCCCGGCGGCGCCCCATTTAACCCTCTCCTCTCCGGGGTCGACCAGGTGGCGGGCCGACCGGCATCCCGTCAGCACCGACGGGCGCGCCGGTCCGTTACGAAACACACGCCAGCCGGGACGACCCGCGGCGGCGAAGGGTTACTGCATGTGGTCACAGGCCCTGGACCGACAATAAAGCGCCACTTTCACGAGCGCGCCCGCTCGTCCGGCCGGCGTTATTTGCCGCCGACGGAGATGGGATAGGGCGAGGGACCAAGGCTGCTAAAGGGTTGGGCTGTTCTCCACCTGAACGGAAGCGGCGGTCGGCGAACGGTTCCCATGGTAACGGAGGCTCGGCCGGCTTGCGGTATATCATCTGGGAATGCAGGCCGTCCGCGCGCGGAGCTGCAACCCGATACTCACGGGATCATATCCCACACCGGGCGCCCGTGCCGCGTACAACATTGCAGGAAGTTGAAAATGTCACGCGTGTCTACCGCGCAGCGGCACAATGCTAGGACTGCACCGAAGTCGGCTTTCCAGTATCACACGACACGTTTTGGAAACCGTAAGCAGATAAGGACCCATCGTCCAATGACCTGCGATGATTTCTAACGATGTCCACACAGCGGACTGGTATCGTGACGTCATTGATGTCATTATGACGTCACATAGGCTCGTGCTGCCGCTCCGGCATCGCGTCTGACACCTTGCAGACCCGTATTGTGACGTCACAAACGGGATGTGTGACGTGTTGGGCGCTCCGGCGGTCGCTGCGCGTGGCTGTTCCGTTGACCTACACCGAGCTCGGGCGCGTGTTGTGTGTGGCAACACCCGATCGTGCAGACCGGAGGGATATCCACTGAAACCAGCTCAGTCTGCAGCAGTGGCCGGTCGGGGGAGGTCGGGAGCGGAGCGGTGTGGTGCGCAGTGCTGAGCGGAGTGTTGGTGTTGGTGATTGACACTCGAGTGACCTCGTCTGTCCTTCGACAGCTGGTCCTGGGATACCACACGGAGGATGAGCTCCGTCATCACATCAATCAACCGGCCTCCTTCGCATGAGCGGCAGGTGAGCACCCTGAGAGCGCGGCTCCTTTGAGGCCGGTGACGGTGTGCATTTCGCCTTTTTTTCGTCGAACGAGTTTCTTTTTTCATTTCGGTGATGGTCGGCGTGCATTCATTTAGCATCGAGTTGCCCATACCGTGTCTAATCAAACAATGTTTCGGGGATCAGACCAGGGGGAATTGTGATGCAACCCGCGGCGTTCGGAATTTTCCTGCTTTCTCTATTTATTTACTGTCATTTTAACAAGCATGGGGAAGGGTTTAATTATTTTAAGCGGGTCAGGGAGGGTGAGATCGGCAGTCGGGCGGCCAGGCATTCAGGGCGAGCCCAACCCTTCACCGGGTAAACGATCCGGAGAGAAAAATGGCGTCCTCTCTGGGGCGGGCGGCGGCTCGGCCCGGCGCCGGCGGCGATCCTGGCGCACGTGCTCTGTGCCGCTGTGCTGACGGTGCCGACGGCTCTGCCCCACCGGACGCAGCTCTGCCCAGAGCGCCTCTGCACTGAGGGCCCGCTCCGTTTTTGTTTACCCCTACCCAGCGGCGGCGAGGCGCCCGCGCCGGCATCGGGGGATTTTTTTTGTGCACTATTTAGAGGGAAGGGGTTGTTTTTTGTTGGCGGCTTTTTGTGAGCGGGCCGTTTTTTCTGTCGCGTCGGATCGTCGGCGTCCCCGCGGCCGGGAATGCGTGCATTCCTGGACTCGGCCGGGCGGCCGGGCGGAGCTTTCAGAGTGGTCGGGAGACACTGGGAACGCGGAGGTACGCTTACAAGTGGACAAAAACGGCCGACAACAGCGCGCGCCGACGGGCCCGACTCGCTATCAGGTTGTTTCCCACGCGCAGAATACTGACCGTAATCAAATCAGAGTGCAAGCAACCGTGCATCATAAATAATCGATGGCGCCGGGGGCTTGCGTGTCATGCGCCAACCGGGGCGGGACTTGCTGAATAATGGCTCCTCGTGTGCGTGTGCTTAGGCGAAATTGTTTTGTGTTTCGCATGGTTTGCAAGCGGCGAGCCCCTCTAATGGCCTCGGTGAATGATTTATTTGCCATTTCCTAGCAAACCTCCGCGTGAGAGTGCATTTGTAGAATGCGTTGCACCGGCGGTCCTAACGCACATTGCCTAATGGCTTTGTAATTTAGGCCTTGGTAATGCTATTATGCAGTGGTCGCCAACAACAAATAAAGCGTTGGCACCATGGTGGAGGCTGGAGCGAGGCTGCTGATCAGCTTCTTTGCACTGCCGTGGCTAATGCGGAAACGGTTGTGAAAATTATAAATCTGCTCGTAAAAGTTGAATAGACATCGCATATTTAATAAAAATTGGGAATGCCTTCAGCGGCCGAAGTTAGTATAAGATAATTTGTATGTATATTGATGTTTTCGTCGTCCTTTTGAAAGTGAGAACATCTAAAATACATGCACGCTACAATGTGCAAACAGACATCTATATGCTTTGAATTTAATGTGATCTGATGTCTGGTCCTTGTTATGAAATTGCACAAATTTAATGTGAAATGAACGTTGTTGCATTTTCGAACACGCACTGTTCTGTTTCCAAGGCAGCCGGCCCTCTTAATTAGTTATTAAAAGGATAAGCGAGTTTGATGAATATTGCATATGAAATCAAGCGTAGCTAAAACGCTCGCATGTTTTTGGTCATTTGCTGCACCGCGCCCGCCCACGAAGTCGAACCACTCGACCGCCGCTGCCCCTCGATCGGCCCCGGTACTCTCCACCCTGTCAGCCCTTTTCCCGCGGATCGGGACGTGCCCCCCCCCCTGTCCCCCCGCGTCCGGCGCGTTTTTTGCCGCGCGCCGCCCGGGGTGGGAGCGCCTAGCGCGCGGCACGGGCTGCTGGGAACGCGCGCGGCCCGGCCGGTAGGGCCCGGCTACCACCATCAGAGGGCCCGCCAGTCGCGAACGGGTTGGCGGCGCGTGAGGCGGCGCCCGGAGAGCCGACTTTGGGACGGACCATGGCGCAGGTGAACCAGGCGGCCGTGCTCTCCGTTATGCGGAGACTGATCGACTCGGCTAAACACACGGTGAGGAAGGGAGGAGGGGTGACCTGACCTGACCTGGCGGTGTCTCGGGGCCAGTTGTAAGGTTTCCAGCTGGAGTTGCAGTACCCACCTGTCCTGTGATTTTCACGTGGATCTCAAGTTTTCTTTCTGTAGTTTTATGCTCTCTAACTTTTGTGATCGTAGCGTCTTTTACTTCCGCAAAATGGCTCATGCCTTTTTACTAGCGGCTCGGCCATCGCGTTGCTAGGGCTCGACTGTGTACTGGTTCTTCCCCGTTTGTTCAGTTGTGTTTCCCCGTCGGCTGTCGGTTATGTAGAAGTGAGCGTTTAGCGACAGGCCCATCTGTTTGTTTAGGACTGTTGACTGTAGACTACGGACCGCTTACACGGCACACCGTCTGTTGAATAGAAGAGCGAGGAAGCTATGTTGCATGTGATACTTCCGCAATCCGCAGTAGCGGATTGCGTAGTTTGTTTGTTATTATTACTACAGTCAATATCAAGTCTGATATGCTTATTTGAAGACTTATGCAATGCCGTCTTGAATTAATCTAGTTTGGTAGTTTAATTTTGTTCCTTTTGTGCAATGAACAATTGAAGTGCATCAACTGTCGGTCGGGTTCGCTAGATGGCTTCAGTCCACCGTTTACGTAGATAAATGAACACACATCCAGCCTCATGTCAATTTAAACGTCAGTTTATCTCGCTTGTCCTATTTCTATACATTACAAGCTACGCAATACGCATACCGTTACATAAGCCAAACAGGCGATCGTAAGTTTTACCTTCATTTCTATCAAATCACCAGCCTGATATCCAAATGGCTGCATTTTAACTCGCCCGGAGGCAGTCATTTAGCATGACTTTAACGTCTATACACCATTTGTTGCAATTTTATCAGGTAAAGCGGGAACGAATTTCCGAGCGCAGACAATCTATCTGACTGCGCACGCATTCGTATTTGTGCGTGTTCGCTTAGCACTCGCCTGTCTCCATGCAAGCTTCACTGCTATCCCTTGACGGGCTGCATTCCGCGAAATGCGTGCGCGCTAGTTTCGTCATCCTGGCGCCAAAATCAGGAAACGATGTCGGCCGCGTCGAGTCGACGAGGGCGCGTTGCACAACGAGCGGGCGTCGGCCCGGCCGGCCGGCACGTGCCGTGGTTAGACACGTGTGCCGACTGGGGTCTCTGGCCGGCCGCCCGTCGGCCCGTCGCCGCCGCCCGTCGGCCCCGTCGTCTCGACGCACGCACTGCACGCACTCTGTGTGACGTCACAGAAACAGGCCAAGCTGGTGGTCCGCGAGGTTGTTGGAACAGCGGTCGATACAGGAGCGGTTGGTGGTTGCGGTGTGAAATTGTGGTTTGGTTTGGTCCGGCTGGCTCGGTTGGGTCCGATTGAGGTGGTGGAATTTGTGAGGTAAGCTAACCTCCGCTGTCCGGATTTGATCTGCCCGACCGCGCTGGACGCATCCCATCTGGTGAGCCTGTTTGTGACCCGAGCGGCCCTGCCTCATGCGGCACCCGCACCACACAACCCCTCCGCGCCCCCGCCCCTCCCGGCCCCTCCCCGGCGCCCCCTCTGCGTCCCGTTGTCCGCCCTCCCCCTGTCCCCTGCCCTCGCAGGTAGCCGTCCCCTCTCGGTCGTCCGTCTGGCCGTCCACCGTGGCCCGTTGTTTACCGGTCCGTCTGGGCGCCGGAATGTGCCTATTTCGGGTACAATTTGACAAACACGGCGCGGCGCGCACTGACCGCACGGCGCCACGAACGCCGCCGTTTAAACAGTGCGCCGTTATAGCCGCAGTTCCGGGTGTTGCTACGAGTGCTAATGTGTAGAATTGCGGTACGGCCACGTTAGATGCGGGACGAGGGAACCAAAAGTCCCGTTTGAACCGTTCGCTACTGGTTTTGGGTGTTTCGGGTCTGGGCCCTTCCCACACCATCGAGCCTGGTCCTTTTCACAACACAGGCAAGGGAGGGGAAGGGGGCCGCGGCGCCGGGGATCAGGGCAGGTCGAGGGTCGGGGAGGTGGGGGAGGGGGGCCGGGCCCGGGGCGAGCCCTCAGGGGCTATTTGTTTACCGTCTGGAGCGGGTCTCGGTCCCCTGATAGGCCGAGAGCCGTCCAGACGCGCTTCCGTCCACCGGGGGTCGGGCCGGCGCCGGGGAGGGCAGAAGTTTGGTGGTTGCGGTCTGAGAGGGACCAAGAGAGGAGCAGCAGAGTGGAGTAGAGAGTGGGAGAGTGGCGAAGGAGTGAGGAGCGGAAGCTAACTGAATTCTGCCGAACAGTGAGCAAGTTAGCCAGTGAGACGGAGAGGTCAGCGCTCCGTTGCGGCCGCTGTAAAACTATGCCAGTAAGTTTATCGACATTATATAAGCGCTCGCCGTATGCTGCAGCTGACGTCATTTACAGAAACGGCACAATTTATCAACACATGTTTCCTTGTTTACTGAGCATAGCATGACCATTGTTGTTCTTTCCTCTGCAGCATAAATGCCAAATTACAATCATTCTATCCTTGTTTGTGTGATTTAATCATTCGATACCAAATACCGCCTATCAATCTAGCCTTCCGTCAGTGCCTAATAATCCAATTAAATTCACTGTCGAGCAAAAAAATTCATACGGCGCAAGAAATGATTGATCAGAATTCGGGAGCCAAAAGATGCAATCACACTGCTCATTAACCTAAGCATATCGCAACTCACTGAATGTGACCATTGCGCCGTTTGCCTGCCTTCCTCCTTTCTAACTCCTCTGCCCGTCTTCCTGTGCGGGCTGACGGCGGCGGCGTCTCGAGTCTCACCCCTCCCGTCCGACCCGGGTGACGATGGGGTTACTATCCGCGTCCGTCCGGCTGGCCGGCCGCGGCGCCGCGTCCTCGGCCATTAGGCGGTATGCAGCTAACGGTCCCGGCCGACCCGCTGTTTGTGTTTGTGCGCGCGGCCGGTCCGGTCCGGTCCGGCGCGCCGGCGAAGGGTTATTTCGGGGGCGGAGTGGCGCCGGGGTCGGCCAGCCGGCCGGAGACGCCGTGACGTCATGGCCATCACCTGGCGACCAGGCGGCGGCACCGGCCCGCCGCGGCGCGGCGGCCTGAGAAAGGGTACGGGCTCGGCCCGCCGAGATGCCAAACCGTTTCCCGGTGCCGGTTTTTTGTTGGGTTGAGAAACGGCCGCCCGAATGACCGCTGGACGGGACTCTATGAGCGCCGCGTAACGGGCACATTAGTCGTGCACATGACAACTTCGTTCTTCCGGTGACAGAGGTTTCTCAGCGGTTTTTACGGCAGAATTTTAAGAAATGGATGACAGCCTACAGCTGTATGGATTTTCAAACGGCCAGAACAAAATAAGCACGTCTGCATTATTCCGTTGTCTCGAAGAAAAGTGTCGGCAGTCTTCCGGTCCTTCCAAGCCCGGTGACTCAGCCACAATGGCGATTAGCGTTTGGCTTTGTGGACAAACTGAGAAACACCCACTATCTGGCGGCCGCCGGCCGTAACAAAGACGGCTGGCTATTGAAAATCGCATCTCATTTATCGTGGTGTCTGAAAAATTCCGGCCCGTCAGAAAACGCGGCAATAATGGTTGTTTTATCTGGCTGTGACGCCCCGGCGAGCGTACGAGTATTTGCATCGCGCGCGCGATATGGCTCCTGGGTAATTAGACCCACGCTGCATGCAAATATCTGAGCAAACTTTAAAAATTTACATTTAATGGAAAGGAAGTGACGGCCATAATGGCCCTCCGGGCAGCTCAAAGGCGCGGCCAAAGTCGATTGTGCATTTCTGCTGCGCTTTGTTTAGATGGTTTAGCACTTTGATCCGCGTGACGACATTCTGGGATGAACAATTAATTTTGACGTCGCTATGGCAACGCGTTGGAAATCTGAAAGGCATGATTAAAAATATGGCCAAGAGGCAGCGGCGAAGGGTAAAAATGCTGACTGGTGGCAGCTATCTCCGCCATCGACCGCGACAAATTGGTCTGAAATCTCCAAACCCGCTCGCTAATGATGACGATGTGTTTAAGAGGCTGTGCTGCGTCTGATTTTTGGCGATAAAAAAGTTCCAGTTCCGAATTGCATTGGAAATCTGCTACCTACCGGCTGCACTCTGTGCAGAGCCTGTGCGCCCTTAATTTGTCGTTCAGTCGCACCAACTAAAATAATAAACTTACTATGCATCACTTTCATATCAGTATTTAACTCGTACCCCTCCCTGTGACCTGCTGCAGCGAGACTGGCGCAGTGGCGGCGTTTCTGACCCTTCATCACAGTCTCATGACAGCTGAGCTCACGCCTGGCTCCTCACGATGATGCGAGCTCGTTATTCTATTCGGCACATTTGCTAACGAGCTAAAAAGGGAAATTACTGCTCGCCGAGCGTCCGTCGTATTTCGGCACCGCTCCATTAAACCGGACACACACACACGGCGAACCGTGCATCCTCTCCCCTTGGAGACTTATCGTGAATCTTTAACCAATGCAAGCCGTGCTGAGCCGTCATTTGCATGCCGTTAATTTTTCATCGTCCTGGGCTCTGGCAAAGCCGGCCGAGTGGCATGTAATTAGTGCGTCGGCCGGCCGGCCCGGCTGATCAGCGGCACGGGTGCAGGGATTTGGGGCGGCACGGGCGTCTCGCGCGTGCTGCACCCCATCGCCGTCGACGGTGTTAGGAGCGCCGCGCCGCCGGCATCTCCCGGTAGATCACCGACGCTATGACGACGGCCAGCCGTATTTTTCGGCCTCATTTCCGCCACAGTGCGCCACGAGATGATTTCATCGGGGTTTTGAACGGCGCAGACCAGAGCGGGACCAGAGGTGTGCCACACGCCGGCCCATGTCGGGAGCAGTTTGGTTGGCGATTTATTTTCCTTATTTCATTTTGAAGCAGAGTTTTCTTACCGTGTTTAGGTAGATTTATTTCAGAGGAACAGTACATTTTAGTCACCATTCTCTGCCGCAAGTCTCACGGTCGTCGAAATACAATTATTTATTTATTTATTTCCGCAGTGTCACGTTTATCGTTAATCGTTTGGGCCTGGTGTCCATGACTGGTTCAACTGTATACCTGACTTCTGTCTTCTTGTTTCTCAGGACGAGGACCCAACCATGGCCGCTGATGACGCGGAGGAGTGCAGACAGCCTTCGGCCATCAACCTCAGCACTCCGCGGCGCACTCCGGAACACTCAGAGCACTCAGACAACAACGTGAGTACCGGCACTCTTCGAGAGTGCACCGCACTAGCGCTGCAAAGCTAATGACACTCGCACAATCCAGCTGAGTCATCTAACATGACGCCCATCTCTGGCGCGGTCGACGTTTTGTCTCCATTCGCCATGGTCTATCGCGTGCACGAGACTCGTTTAGCGCCGCATCACTCATGCATCGTGTTTTGTGCACAACATTGCGCGTGTGTACTTGCAGCGGCGCCGCGTGGTTCGGCATCAGCCATCAAACATTGATGCTGTTTTTGTCGGTTCGGTGATGGCGTCGCACTCGTGTCCGAATTATCGACAGCTAGTTACCGACCTGACCGCGCCGCTGATGCCGACAAACAATGCATTAGGCATATGTTTGTGTCGGACGATCCTGGCCGGTGCACACGCGGGAAGGGTAGCCCCGATCGACCGCCGGTCGCTGGGATCGAGCTCTGCAGACTGGCGGCGGGCTGATGCGGTTCAGGCGGACGCAGGTGGACATCAGACTTTGAGATTCGCCTCGAAATAGACTCTCGCTGGCGCATTGAGTCCGTCCGCCTGACGGGTGGATAAATAAAAGTCGGTCCAATCGGTGTTACCAAGTTGAAGCGGTTAAATTTCGTTGTTGACTGCGTCGGGCAACCTCATATCTGCAGCAAGCAGTCGCAAACGGTCATCGGTCGGCAACAGACACTGCGACCTTCGCGACTTTTTGTCGGTCGTTTTTACGGCATGGTCGTACGCTGTGCCAGCAAAAAGTGCACCAATGTCTCAATCGTCAGAGCTCGCCCTGTCCCCGAAAGGGTTCCGGTACTAGGGTGCAAAGAATGGTCTTCCGGCGACCTACTTAGTCATTCACAGAAACCGGGACACTTTGCCACCCCGCCGACTTTTTCTGCTCATTTCGCTGGACCGTATTGTCAGCCCCATCAAGCAGTTGCCCACGAGTAATTTACTAGTACTAACATCGGTTAGTCGTGAAACTGGTTTTCCAATATGTTACGCGTCCAGCTGCGCCACATTTGCGGCCGGTGCGCCACAAGGCAGGTCTGCAGAGCGGCCGGCGCGGCGGCCAGCGCGGAACACGTCAATACGGTCCTGTTTGCGTCGGCCGCTGCCTAAACAACCCGGCTGCAATGTAAACACGGTGTCGGCGAGCCGGCTGGAAATTCGGCGCGGCATTGTGGCCCGCCCGCTGGCTGACGGACGGGCAGGGTTCACCAGCTAGGCTGGGCTGTGCACCGTCCGCCCGCCATACAAACAGGCGCCTACGCCGGCCACTGCGCTGAGAGGGTTATGCCAGGGGTGTGAGACTTCCTGTGTGGTAGTCGGGTCAACTACGGGTAATAAGTGGAGACGCTATACTACCTGGTTGATTATCATCCAGGGAAGTTATTTTTAATTACTTTTAACGTGTTGTCCAGCGAATATTTAGGCGATATATCGTACCCATTCAGAGAACTGTTAGCTTAATAAATTTACGTCTCTAGCGATCAGCTAGCACGTCCTAAAATCGGCAATGACTCATGCGAACCACGACATTTGGGGAGCTAAGTCGTTCACAGAACCAGTCAAGGTTTAGCGCCGTCCCGTCTGGTCCTTGTCCTGGCTTTCCGTCGTAAGCGACGTAGGTTTCATTTCCACAATCTGACGGTCATCGTCGAGGCGACATAAAAATTTGCGTCAGTGTCGGTTGACGGCCGCGGCTTTGATTGCCGTAAAAGTCTGTCGCCGTTTGAGTCGACTCTCGGCACAGTTTATGGGATTAGCGCCGGGTTGGCCGCACCCGTGGGACAAGTTCGGACGCCGTCGAACACGTTGACTATCGCCGAGGACTTCTCAACTGTTTGGAGATCATACGAGCGACGGTCAGCGGTGGACGGTGCAGCAGATTTTAGGTGATGGGGTGGGAGGTCTCGGCGGAGGCGACTGCTGGAGTCGCGGGAATGTTTTCGGGCTCGTGGCATTAGTGACTTGATATGTCGCATTTCCTCGTCGGTTTAGCTTCAAGGCGTGATCGGGTGAATATATCATGCATGTAGATATATCCGTTTACACTATACATGAATGTGTACAAACATACATATATGCGGTCGGATGAAGTTTTTGGCATTTAGCATCATGATGACTTATTCATCCTAAAAGCTGTGCGGTATGTTTTTAAGTTATGCTGAATTTTCATTTTTCGCAGTATTTCCTCTTAATATTGCAGTGCGTTGCTTCATTGGTTTTGCATAATTTGATGAACTCCGCGGCGTTGTGGCCACTTATTGGCGCAGAGCAATCCCTTTATCTCTGCGTTTCAGCGAAGGCAACCGTCACAGTCTCCGCGATTCAAAGTCAGCGCGACGCCGGCGATGAATCGCTCTTTCTCATTGATAACCTCATTACTGAGTCCGAATCACTTGGCGGAATTTTTCCTAATCCCCGGGCGGCGCCGCCAATTCGACGGCATATGAAATCAATAGCTCCTTCTTTTATGAGCTGCGGCAGATTCGCCGCCACATCACAATCGGCACTAAGCTGCCGTGCTGCGCGGCCGCCAGCCGGCTAATTCTGAATAATTCACCGGCGGGTACCGCGTACCGCGCCGCGGACCCAGCATTTGCCATCTGACCCGATGGGAAATCAGTCGTGGGCTAGCGGCCAGCCGCCGACCGCCGCCCATGTTCGCCGGCACGTGAGCTGGCGTGAGCGCGCCAGCACTCCTCAAATAATGACGTCTCGCGCCGGACAGTCGATGAGTGCAATCGTGCCGTCGCCGGCGGCGCGGGGGTGTCATTCGGCCCGATGGCGGCGCGCCGCTGCGTCTTGACTTGTCATTACCGGCCGATCGGGCTGGTCAGCTTTATGATAGTCCCGGGAGCGGCCGGCTGATGGCGGCGGACGATGGGGCGGCATCAGCCGCATGGAGCTGCGGTGTCACCTGGGGGCCGTGCTCAGTCGCGCTCTTCCCTCCCACGCCGTGGCGCTGCGTCTGCTCCCCTGCCGCTGACTCGACCTTTGACATCCTCACCAGGCCCAACTTCTTGCAACCACCGCTGCTGGCTCGGTCTTTACCTGCATTCGAATGCAGACCGGTGCCATCCCCAGAGGAGGGTGGATTCCGTTCGGACATTGTTCGGTCGATGGTTTGCTCGCAATTGCAGCGTCAAGTAACAGACCCGATGGACAGGCTGTTCATGAGAATGAATTAACGAACTTTGACTGACCTATTGGCTATCACAAAACATAAAATCAATCTAAAGAATTTAGAATTAACTCTTTCGAAGATAATGAGCACGCTGTAGCTATAAACACTTTTCTCTTATATCTGCTTTTATGTTTTCTCACTTTTCCTTCTTTCCTGTCTGTCCCGCTGGCTTGCATTACTAGACACCATTTCTGGTCCCGAGCTAAGTGTTTCGGGGAGTTCTCAGCCGTTTACTGCCCACTCCGCAGCCTCGCCGTGGCATGTTGTTTGGAAACGTCCACTGGGATCATAATTTTATAGTTTACCGCTAACCCCTTCTCTCTCTCTCCATCCAGGAATAGTGCAGAACCTGCATCCTGTATGTTTACGGTCAAATTCTGCATGTTCACGTGATGGGCTGCCTGTTTTGGACGAGGATTGTTTAAATCGACATGAAAAGTACTTACTTCCTCTTTCTCTCTGCTGCCGTTGTCTAATTATATTTCTTATTTGTGCGGCAGCTTTCCATTCCTCGCAGCTCCTTGGTTCCTCCACCTACTTCCTTCAGACGCATTGGACGCAACTGTGTTCGCACGAGCAGCTCGACGCGCCGCCATTGGTCGGCGGTCGGCGCGGCGATTTCTCATTGGTCGAGAGGCGCGTCGCACGCGACAGTCGGCGACTGCCGAACAGGTATCGCCGACTGCACCGTCGTCAGTGACGGCCGGAGCCGGGATGGAGGCGATATCCTCGGCCGGTGGCTGGGTGAGTGGTCGACTGAATTCAGCAGACTCGGCCCATCTACCCTGTCCGCAGCCTGTGTCGTTTATTTTGTACTCCGTCTTGGTCTTTGTCCATTTCCATTTAGGTTATTAACTTGTCTCTTTTACTTCTTGCTTTATCATGTAGGCTGCACCTCCACACATTTGTATCGGGAAGTTTTCTTATGGTTCTTGAATCTCATATAGATTATTGATGTTGCCGTGCTTCAATAACATGCAAGATGCTTTGCTAGGATTGTTTATGTAGTTGTGATGCCTTTTTAATTTGTCTGGCAATCCAACTTTGACATGCTGTTACTAGGTCGTCATGTTTGTGCTCGCGGTAGAGCCATCTGTTTGCGCTACGGTCGTGCTTTGTAGGCATACTTTGCATGTCGATCATTTGATCAACAGATATTATCTTTAGTTCAAAGTTGATAAACAGCTTGATCAAGTATTGGGTCATGAAGGTGAATGAATATAGGTATGGCAAAAAACAAAATGAAGCTGATAGTGGCCAATCTCCACAAGCCGCTAACGCTTCGTGTCCAAACAATTAAAATGCAAGAAAAAATTAGTCTCTTTGTTTCCCGTCTTCTTTACCAGGGCTGCCATTGGAGGAGTCGGGAGCTTGTGTCGCAAGCGTTGGAGTTGTAACGTTTATTTTCCTTTCCTTTGCTCGTTTAAGCGTTTAATAAACTTAATGTTTTCAGTTGAAAATGAAGCTTTATCTGTTGCATGCATATTTGCATCACCCTGGGGGCATGCATTTCGTCGATACGTGAACTCAGTAACTCGTGGATATCCTCCAGGTGAAGAACTTGGCGTATTTGTCTTCCGTGAACTTCGCCATTCATAGACCGTTAGCCGCATTCACCTACCCATGAAACAAACTTGCAGCTGCGTCCGAACAAATCAACCACGCCATTTGATTTCCTCTACCCGGAGTTTGGGTTCATTCCGCGCCGCTTTGCGGGCAGCTCTGACGCGTCCGCTGTATAGCCGCGGGGCCCCCGCCCCCGCCCCCGCCCCCGGTGGTTATCTGCAGCCTCCTGGCCACTGCGTGACGTCAGACA